CCACTGATGAAGTTGCAGGCTACCTGCGCTAATGAATGGGCTTCCTCTAGGCTGTGCACTTAGCCTTCTGCTTCCAAACCAAATGAGAGGTGAGGCACCCTCTCTGGGCCCATCTCTTTCCTCCATTTTCCTGTTGGGGTCCCAGGGAGGAAGCGACTTGCCTAGGGCCCAGGAACTTTGCAAGCCTCTTGCCTTAGGGAGGAGGATCTTACCTCGAGCTGTCAAGCCTAGACCCTGGCAGGGTGGGTAGGAATGGGCGCAGCCCATGAGTTAGAAACACTGGAGGAGATACTGCTGCTTGGCCAGGGCAGGCAAGTTAACTCCTGAGGCTCCTGCCATTGCATCTCGGTCTGGAAGGTGACCAGGTGGGCAGGATGCACGTCTCCCAGATGACTCATTTTTTCTAGAGCAGGGGCTTGGCCGCCAAAGAGGATACATGATTTTGGCTTGTGGGGACAGTGGTGGACCCAGCACCTGGGCTTTATATAAAGGGGCAGCTTTGTTGCCCTGTAAACACACAGACTGTGGGTGGCCACTTCTTCCAGTAAGTTAGCTGGGGAGTTGGAAGTTTAGGTAAAACCTTTTGATTGGCAAACGTTGGCAAATCACCATGCTGTTAAATGAAACATTGTCCTGCCACCCTGGGGCCGTGGGCTGCCTGTGTGCACCCTCTGAAAAATCACACAGGAAGTGGGGTGGGGTCTCTGTGAAGCTGGTGTCCCCCAACCTCAGGGATGCTGCAGAAATGGAATGAGGACCAGCAGGGACTCAGATGCCCACGGAAGCTCTACAGTGGAGAGGGCGGCTTGGGAAGGAGGTCCAGGCCCAGGTCCCTCTGAAAGCCAATGGGTATGGGGCAGCCTGGCTCCTGCCCCACCCGCCTTCTCAAGTTCATTGTGTCCTCACAGTGTATGCCGCCGGCAAAGCAGCCACCTCAGGTGTTCCCAGCATCTATGCCCCCAGCACCTATGCCCACCTGTCTCCCGCCAAGACCCCGCCCCCACCAACTGTGATTCCCATGGGCCCTGCCTACAACGGGTACCCTGGAGGGTACCCTGGGGACCTCGACAGGAGTAGCTCAGGTGAGGCTGGGGGAAGCAGGAACAGCTGGTGGGGGTGTGCTGGGCATCTGGACACTGAGGGGCAGGGGCTGGAAGGAAGAGGGTCTTGGGAGCTGAGGAGGGGCTCTGCTCCTGGTGAGCAGCAACTGACAGCCACTCTCTCCCAGCTGGTGGCCAAGGTTCCTACGTACCCCTGCTTCGGGACACAGACAGCAGTGTGGCCTCTGGTGAGAATCCATCATCCCAAAGTTGGATGTGCCTGTAAGGGGGAGGGCTGGGCCAGGATCCATCCTCCCAAACCGACCACCACCACCCTGTCCTTAGAAGTCCGCAGTGGCTACAGGATTCAGGCCAGCCAGCAAGACGACTCCATGCGGGTCCTGTACTACATGGAGAAGGAGCTGGCCAATTTCGACCCTTCTCGACCTGGCCCCCCCAATGGCCGTGTGGAGCGGGGTGAGCAAGAGCCTTGGGGTCTGAGGGCTTTTAAGCTTGCGGGGGGGAGGGGGGAAGCATGTCTCCCTGATACCTGCCCCAGGGACTCCTGGTGCAAACCCTGGACCTGGGCAAACCTGGGCTCCTCCAGTAGTCAGTGACACCCCCCTTCCCTGCAGCCATGAGTGAAGTCACCTCCCTCCATGAGGACGACTGGCGATCTCGGCCTCCCCGGGGCCCTGCCCTCACCCCGATCCGGGATGAGGAGTGGGGTGGCCACTCCCCCCGGAGTCCCAGGGGATGGGACCCAGAGACCCCCAGGGAGCAGGCAGGCGGGGGCTGGCGGGCCAGGCGGCCCCGGGCCCGCTCCGTGGACGCCCTGGACGACCTCACCCCGCCAAGCTCCACCGAGTCAGGGAGCAGGTCTCCCCCGAGTAGTGGTGGGAGGAGAGGCCGGGCCTACATGCCCCCGCGGAGCCGCAGCCGGGACGACCTCTATGACCAAGAAGACTCGAGAGACTTCCCACCCTCCCGGGACCCTCACTACGACGACATCAGGTCTCGGGAGCGCCTCCCTGCCGACCCCAGGTCCCACTACCACCGTACCCGGGACCCTCGGGACAACGGCTCCAGGTCCGGGGACCCCCCCGATGATGGGCGGCTACTGGAGGAGGCCGTGAGGAAGAAGGGGTCGGGGGAGAGACGGAGACCCTACAAGGAGGAAGAGGCCTACTATCCGCCCGCGCCGCCCCCGTACTCGGAGACCGACTCGCAGGCGTCCCGCGAGCGCAGGCTCAAGAAGGTGAGGGCCGCCCTCCCTGGCGTCCAGATCGTTCCTGGGTCCCCAGCCGGTCCCCGCGGCTCATACCCTTCTTCCTTTCTCCCTTGCAGAACCTGGCCCTGAGTCGGGAAAGTTTAGTCGTCTGATCTGACGTTTTCTACGTAGCTTTTGTATTTTTTTTTTTAATTTGAAGGAACACTGATGAAGCCCTGCCATGCCCCTTCCGAGTCTAATAAAACGTATAATCACAAGCTCTGGAGAGAACCATTTGTTCAGCCGCGTAGGGCGGGGAACGGGGACTGCTCCCGTGTGCGTCTGTAAAGCCCCGCGTCCCGGGGGCGCCGGAGTCCCGGGCCGGGAAGGAGAGATCCAGCCTGGCC